AAAGTCCTCCAGGTGAAAAATGTATTACAGCATAAAAATCCAAAACATGAGTCTTCCTAAGAAAACACCCTTGAAAACCTCAGGTCAACTGCACTGGCATACCAATCAAATTATTAAGAAATTTTTAACAGAAAAGGTAGTTATTACTCCTTTTCCTAAAATAAAGTGAAAGGTGTTCATAAATTTGTTTTTATAATGTCTATATTCAGCAAAATTTTAATTTAAAAACACCTTTACGTAATAAACTAGAATATTAACTCCAAAGCAACCAGATTCAGATTATTGTCTCAACATTTGCAAATATGAAAGGTCAACTACTCATGAAGACAGCAAGCATCCAGGACTACATAACTTTTTATTCTGATAGTGATTCTTTATTCTCCATTAACTCTGAATTATAGTGTAACCGTCATAAGTGAAAAATTTGTTTCTTGCTTGAAGATTAAAGTGAGAAGAGAAAGAATCAAATCTAAAAAGATGGTGATTCTTAGCCAAAACACAAATTTTCAATATATGAAAGTACAACATATATAAATACATGTAATATAAGTATGTGGGGTATGCATATATACTGTATACATAAATACAAAATGCAACATACAAAAATACAAAATATTATATACACACATTATATACACTCAACAGTGGTTTAGTGCTGACCTAGAATATGTGAGGCCTGTGATTCTCTCCCCATTATACAAAAAGAGAAATATCTATTGGATAATGCTGCCATCAACAAACAACCAAAATTTTCAGTACTAAGTATCATTAGCTGTGATTTGACTGCAAAAGGCCATTAGACCAGCAAAATACGTTTTTGGGAGTGTAACAGTTAAAGGCAAAAAGTATGAAGTCACATGCTCATGCTCAAATTCCTACTCTACCACTTATTAGCCTTCTGATCTGAAAAAATATTTAACTTCACTCAGCCTTACCACAGAAAATCAGGATAATAATAATTCCTGTTTCACAGGATTACTGTTAGGATTAAAAGAGATAACACATGTAGAAGTGTCACCACAGGTAGCATACTAAGCTGTATAACCAATTCAGCTATTTTTGTCTTTAATACCATGACTATTATTATCACCATCTTGCTGTAGCATAGTTTAACAAACATTCTGCCTGATTATAGTAACTGAAGTCTTTCTACCCTGGGACTCTAGAGTCCTAAGATGAAAAGCAACAAAATCAACCTAAGTATCCACCAATGGATGAATTTGATTAAAGAAATAAATGTGGTACATATGTACAATGGAATACTATTCAGGCATTGCAAAGGATAAAATCCTGTTATTTGCAGAAACATGGATGAAAATGGAATACATCAGGTTAAATATAATAACCAAATACAAGAAGACAAATGTATAGGCTCACTTATACACAGATTCTAAAAGAGTTAATTTCATAGTAGCTTTGAATAGAATAATAATTACCATATGCTGAAGCTAGTGAGGGAGTGAGGTTGAGGAAACAGGTTGAGGTCAACAGGCATTATTAAGTTAGTTACATAGTGGAAGTAAGTTCTAGTATTCTACTACACAGCAAGACAACTACAGATAATGCCTATAGTAATTTTTTTTTTTTTTGGTCCTGGGGATTGAACTTAGGTCCTTGCACTTGCAAGGCAGGCCACCGAACTGTTGAGCTAAATCCCCGGCCCCTTATAGTAAATATTTTTTAAAAACAAAAAAATTAAATGTTTTCATCACAAAGTGATAAATGTATTTGTTGCTAATGATAAAATGCTAAAGAAAAAAATTAGAATTTGTGGGCTGGGGATTTAGCTCAATGGTTCCACTGCTTGCCTTGCTGCTACTAAGGTCCCGCATTCAATCCCCAGTACCAAAAAAAAAAAAAAAAAATTTGAAAAATCAATTTAGCTCAATGGTTCCACTGCTTGCCTTGCTGCTACTAAGGTCCCGCATTCAATCCCCAGTACCAAAAAAAAAAAAAAAGAATTTGAAAAATCTGCAGATTTTTCTAAGCAGGAGAGCTTATGACTTGCCTGATGAGATCAATGGTGATACTACTTATTTGAAGCCTTGCAATTGTTTTTACACTGTTCTGGCATTTTAATATGTGTTTGTCTTTCCATTTGATAGTAAGCTCTGTGAAAGAAGAAATGCCAGGTATTTATCTGTGTTTTCTTTAAAACCTGGAACAGAATTACATGCAGGATAGTTACTGGGTAGACATTTGTTGGCTAACTTACTATCCTGACTCCTGGTATTTATTGGTTAAAATATGTATGTGCGTCTCTCTGCATGTGTGTACTGAGTTCCTAAGTATTCGGGGCTCCTAGTGACTGCATTTGACAAGGTTTTTTGGCTCAATTTATTTTCCATATAAATTATTCAAAATTTACCCTTTTTTCCTTGGTAATTACAAAACTACATCCCCTTTTCCATATAATTTACTCAAAATTTGTCTTTTTTTTTCTCATTAAGTACAAAGCCAGGTATTTGCTGCAAAATGGTCCAAATAATCAAAACAATTCTTTCTTTTAATAAATATTCAGTGACTTTGGCTCCAAAGCACATATTGGCAAATTATGGCCTGTAAGACAAATCCTGTCTATGCCTGTCTTTGTAAACAAATTCTTACTGGACTACAGCCATTCTCATTAATTTTGTATTGTCCACGTGGCTTCCATTCTGCTTCAGCAGAGTTTCAAGAAGGTATGAAATCACACAGCCCATAATGTCTAAAAATTTTTGCTATCTTGACCTTAGTAGAAAAACTTCCAAACCCTGCTTTAGCACATTCATCTTTCAAAAAATGGTATTTATGTTTATTTTTAAGGTACAAAATATATACTGTGTTTTATACCAAAATATACCTCTCACTTAAAATAAAACAAAGAACTCCATAGCTAAAACACTCAGAAATCTGAGTAGCCTAAAATACCTGACATAATCCTCCAGGGAGTTGTGCCCTAGCTCTTCTATCTAATAGTTTAAGATTTTACTATGATCTTTACCCAAGCCCAACACTGGTCAAATACCTACCATCACCAAACATATACCATCAATTAGGCAAGGCAAGATTAAAACATTTAAGGGCGACCCACTAAAAAGATTATGAGGAGCTTCTGCAGCTAGCCAAGGATGAGTAACAGGTATGGAACCAGCCTTCCTGCCATGAAAGACTGCAAAACTGGACAAAATAATGAAATGACTGCTTTCAGACAGTGGGATAACAGGCCCAGGTGACCACCATGGTTCTTACTGAAAACAGGGAAACAACAGAGATGGAAGTTATAATCACCCTGTGCCCTGCCTATACCAGGGAGGATGAGTCCAAGCAGAACACAAAAGTCTAGAAGAATCAAGGAGCTAGAAACTGGAGGAGAGTCAGCAGCAGTCTGCAAGACAGCACACTGGAAGGGAGCTGTGTTGATAAAGAGCTCCAGGAATCTGCAAGGGACCCCTTTGAATCTGAGTCACAAAGTGAACAATTCCCAGGATTCACACGGGACTGGGAGACATTCAAATTCCAGTCAGCCAGAGTAGAACTACACCAAATCAACAGACACTCTGGAAAAGGGCCACCATTAGCCCCAACATAAGGCTACATTAGACCCACCCTAACAAAGATTAACAACATTGGAAAGGATCAGCCAAATCCACAAATTACTTAGCTTCACAAGCAAATAGCAATACTTCAAAGAAAAGACAAAATCCAAATACTGAAAGATATGATTCATGCAATGTCCTTGGAAAGCAGCAGCAGTAGACACAGATGGTAGAATTAGCACACAATGATACTAAAACAATTATAAACATGGTCCATACATTCAGTAATGTAGAGGAAAACACAAACGACAGAGATAGATAGAAACAGAAAATAGGAAACAGAAGATTCCATTTCATTATGTCTTCACCAACTGAAAAACTACTACATATTTCTGAAATTAAAATTCACTAGGCAGAATTAACAGCAGATTAGAAGACAAGACAAAGGAACATGAGACAGCAACAGAAACTATTCATATTAAATCCAGAAAATGAAAAGGTTAGAAAGAAAATGGAGCCCCATGATTTATGGGACAGTGTCAAGCAATCTAATGTACATGTAACTGCAATTCCAAGAGAGACAATGAGAAGATAAGAAAAATATTCAAAGAAACAGCATAACTTTTCCAACTTTAATATAAATTACAATCCCACAGATCCACAAAACTCAAAGAACCTCAGACAGGATAAAAAAGAAAATCCCATCAAAGCATATCACAAATTCCTCAAATCCAGCATCATTAAAAATAAAACAAAAGGGGGCTGGGGACTTAGCACAATGGTTCCACCATCTGCCTCACAAGCACAAGGACCTGAGTTCCATCCCCAGTAACAAAATAAAACAAAAGGAATATGTTTCTCTCCTGGCTTCATATAAAATATAATACAACTCTAATCCAAAAAAGCACATAACATCCTTCTAAATCTGATTTAAAAAATGCAGGTAAAGTTTATCAAAGTTGAATTCTCATTCTTTGCTGTTGGATAAACAAACTTAGCCTAACTCAGTGGTGGCAGGCCTATGGCATACTTGCTACAGAAGGCTGTTTATTATCACTGAAAGCTTTAAAGGGTTAGCCATCATTGCTCTAACTATTGAATAATCAAGCATGAACAAGGTGTAACACTACTGGAAAATAACAGCAACCAAATACATTTACAGGCCTTATAGAGTTCACAAATGCTACACACTTTGGATTGCATGCTTCTTGAGGTCAGAAATCCTCATGTCTTTACCCATAAATTTCTAGTATAGTTCCAAGTGGAACAAAACTGTAAGAACACACAGGAATGAATCACTTTCATTTCTCCCTCAGTACATTGCTCTGTGACATGTTAGAATAAGATGAGAAAGTAGATATCCAGGAGGATTAAATGATTGTCCCAAGAAAACTCAAAAGGCATCCTTAGCATAATGCCACCACATAGTGTTACACCAAAGTAGACACCACAGAAACCAGTTTTAAGTATTATTGTACTTACTCTGAGTCTCCACAAGGTCAAAAGCCACACTAGAAACTGTGTCCATTCCAGAGTCAATACAGGACTGGAAGGTTTTTAAGGAAGAGAGAGCAGACTCTATACCACTGAAGGATATGAAACCAGTTGAACCTGAATTTGAACTGGAACGTCCCGGCATCTTGAAATTATTACCTAAATTTTCAAACACAGTAACAAGAGTTGTATGTCAGAATAACTGCATATGAAAATGGCATGGCTATCAACATTTATATGAATGCACACAATACTCAGGAGTCACATTATCATCTACATTTGGTATCCCTCAAGAGGATACCACAGCACTGTACCATAATCTGGGCCACCAAATACACATACACTGAATGGCAAAGGCAACCATCCTCAATTTTTAAAGGAAGCAAAATACCCTCTTCCAAAAGATTCCCTGACTCTGAAGAATTCAACAACAGCCCAATTCTTAAAAGTATAAAATATAAATGGGCTAGGAAAAGTAGACTAATCATGACACTTTGCTAAAAAATGAAAATAATACAACAGTAAGGTGACATTTTGAAAACCTATAATTTAAACTTACCTAACTTACATGCACTTTGAATTCTGAAAATTGTAGGAAATATATATGCTCCTGGCAGCTCCTCTGGGTTCTAACATTTATAAACTTGGTGAGATCTCAGATTCAGTGAAAGGAGAATTTCTGTATAAACTTTGTATCTTCTGGTAGCTCATCCATTATAACAGTTCAGTTATTATTTTCATATTAAACACTCCCTTATCCATATCTTCACTACCAACTCTTTAAGTTGTGTACCCTTACATAAAGCTTCCTACAAAAAGACATCTTTGTATAATTCAGTACCCATCTGATATTCAATTAACTGAAACCAACTAGAAAAGTGGAGAGAATTCACACAGGATTTTAAAAGGGTGGCAGGGCTGTTCCAAGGTTGTATGGGAGCATAAAGGCCACTTGCCTGGTATCAGACAGACAAAATGAATTCAAGCTGCAACTTTACCACTGTATGACCACAGACAAATTAGGCTTGTCAGCTTCCCTGCACCTCCCTGAGAGGGAATGGGAAAGAATAAACATGGTATACTATTATCCAGTACACAATTGAGCATCAGAACCTGCCCTCCTGCCCTTCCTACCCTGAGTAGGGCATTGGGTAGTATCTCTGCACTTCCTTTTCTTCAGGGATATCATCTTTATTTCACACTTGGAATACTACTGTAGTTTTTCAATTAGTGCTTCCTTCTGAATTAGGTTCAATTATTCAGTCCACAAACAGGTTGAGAGCCTCACCACGTCAACCCATTCAAAAGCGCAAGGTTAAAAAAATGGGGAGAGCATAGAGAGGCATAAGATGCTAATTTTTATTTGAGTTGCCAGTTTAGTGTAAACATTCACAATACAACTCACTACAATTCAAATAATTCAGTTAACAAATATCTAATATGCATCTACTTAAGTGCCAGGCACTTCTCTTAGCACGGGAATGCCACAGCTTTCAAGATGAGCACTCTCCAGAGTTTCACTTTCAAGCTTCAACTTTTTCTACTTTGATGAAACCTACCAAGCACTATTCTGGGCACTAGAAATGTTCAGCCTCTGCTCTGCAAGGGATCAGAAACAAGAAAGGGAGACAAGCACATGAATAATTAAACATGAGAATCACTACAAAATGGAGGCACACACGAAGAAATGCTTATCTCTGCCTTAGACCACTGAACAGATCTTAAAGGATAAGGAGTAATAAGTCTAATGGATGGAGGGAAATGGGGAAGGGCATTCAAGCAAAGGAAAGGGGTGTGGGGATAAAGGGAAAAATAGTTGCAAACAGTACACAGCCTCTAGACAGGTATTTGCCTTTCCTGATTATAGGGAGAAAAATGATCTTTTTATGATTCCTCACTCTACAAACATCCAACACCTCTCCTCCACCTTCATCTGGAGCTACAGACCTCACTTCATATTTCACAGAGAAGATAGGAGCAATGCAAGAAGTGCCTTGATCCCACTGCTGCCCTCAGCTCCCACATACTACTCCACCTTTCCTCTTGTTGAAATTAATAAACCACACCTGCTAGTTACCCACTGTATCCCACCCCTCTTCCTCACTCAGGGACAATCCCCCAGTATTCTCCCTGCTTTTCTGCATTACCAATGTTTCCCTCTTAACAAACAAATGGACTGTTACATCTATCGTAAAGAAAACACTCTCCCACCACTATGCCATTATGATATCATTGGCCATGAGGTCCTCTCAAGAGCCAAGCAGATGTCAGCATAATGCACTTAAACTGCTACATTATGAGCTAACAAAACCTCTGCTCTTTATAAAGCATCATGTGCCAGGCATTTTGCTATGGCAACGGAAAACACTCTAAGTACCTAATAAGGGATTGCTTTGAAGAATGAGTTAATATATACCAAAACACACATGCACACAAACACACTTAAGAGCAAGCCCAGCATATAAATATTTTAAAATGTGAGACGATATTATCATCATCTTCAGCATGTGCAACAATACAAAATAGTCTTTAAAACAGAATCTGCACACAGACCCCTAGCAATTCCATCTGGGCCATGACACTTTAAAACTGCACATGCTGAATGAACTTCTTTATCTTCAGTTTTTTTTTTCCTGTTTTAAAAAAATCATATCTATTTCCTATTTCACAGCATTTCCGTAAATTTTTGTTTTCTCAAATTTAATCTTAAGAATCACTTACTAAAAATACATACTTATGGGCATATCTGAGACCTATTGAATCAGGTTCTTATTAGAGACCCTGAGAAAACTTTATTTTTATGAGACACCTCCTATGATTCTTAGAACCAGACAAGTATGGAGGCCACCGACATGACAGTGTCATGCCCCCACACACACCCCTGCCAAATTCTTCCGTTGAAGTCCTATTCCAAACATAATAGTACTTGAACATGGGGCCTTCAGTGATAATAAGGCTTAGATGATGGGATAGCACCCTTATTAGGAGAGACACTACCAATCTTTCTTTCCACCACGTGAAGACTCAGCAAGAAGATGGCCATATGCAAGCCAAGAAGAAAGCCTTCTCTAGAACTCAAACTATGGTGGCACCCTGATCTTAGACTATCAGCTTTAAGAACTAGGAGAAATAAATTTCTTTATTTAAGCCACTTGTCTGTTGTATTTTGTTATAATTGCCTGAACTAAAATAGGGTATGTATTCAAATTAGTATAAGCCAAGACAAAGTATCTATCACACGGCAGCGATCCTTACTATGTGTTTGAATAAATATCCTCCAAAAGGCTCAGGTGTTTGAAGGTGAATGTCTTATGAGGGTAACATATCTGACTTGCTGTTAGAAGTGGGGTCTGATTGAGATGGCTCACTGGGTGGGACATGACCTAAAAAGGTCCATCCACCTCCTCAGCTCATCCTTTCACTCTCCCCGCTTCCTGGCCACCATAGCATGAGTAGCTTTCCTCGGCCAGACCCTTCTACCATGACAGTTTTGCCTTGGAGCCAGCAGACTATGGACTGAATCCTCTAAAATCCAGGAGCCAAAACAAGCCATTCCTCCTTTAAGTTTTGGATTTGGGTATTTTGTCCCATTTTCAACAAAAAAATGACTAAGACATTCTCCTTACTTCAATAAAACTTCATGGTTACAGAGAGCCAAGGGAAAAAAAAGTCCTTCTGCAATTGACATATTTCACTGAAAAAAAAATACTTTTCTCAGTTCCTTCCAGTAAGTATAGCTGAATACATAAGTCAAAGGCAAACCCTTCTCTGATTAGACCTTCTTTGATATGACTATACTATTTTGTATTCACTGAATTTTATTAACCATTGCTATGGTGCATGATGTTCTCAGCACTTCAAAACAAACCAACTCTGTCTTAGTAAGACTCAGATCTCAATACCTGCATTCCCTCTTTCAAACACGATTCACAATGTTGGTTCAAAACTTTATTCACCCTACTCCCACCATAAGAATATTTTCACTTCTCCATTATTCAAATCTTACACATCTGCTGCGGTATACATATTTATGCCCCTCCTCCCCAAATTTGTATGCTGAAACCATAAAGCCAAAGGTGATGGCATTAGGAAGGTGGTAAGATCCACCTTCTTGAATGGGATTGTGTCCTTTTAGAAGGCTTGCTCTAGAGAGCTGCCCTGCCCTTCCACCATGTGAAGACAAAACATGAAGACCTCATGTATGAATCAGAAGACAGGCCCTCACCAGTCAGCAAATCTGCTGGCACCTTGATCTTGAACTTCTTAGCCTCCAAACTTAGGAGAAACAAATTTCTACAGTTTACAAGCTACCCAGATTACAATACCCAAACAGACTAACACCTTTTCTTCATGGCTTCAATTAGTGATTCTCAATCAAGGAGATTTTACCCCATCCCCAAAGGCTATTCAGTGACATTTGGAGATATTTTTTAATGGGACTGGAGGGGGTAAGCACCCACTAGATTCTAGTTGGCAGCGGGCCAGGGATGCTATTAAACAGCCTACTAGGCACAGAACTGCCCCGAACTACAAAAAATTATCTGGCCCCCAAAAATCAACAACGCATTGGTTGAGAAATACTGATTTATATCAACCTCATGATGGATCCTTCTCCAGGTAACACCGATACTCCTGTTCGGAGACCTATCGTCTAGTTACAACAAAGTTGCACATTTCCTGAGTTCTTCCCTAGCATGTTATTTGCCTTCCCTGACAAGCCTGTAATGTTCTCCGTGGGCAGAGTTAATTATCAATGAAAATATAAAAATACTTCCCTACTGTTGCATCTTGTGTTTCTGTATAGCAGCATGGCAGATACACGATTTACAATTTAAATCCATAATGGCCTTGTATAAATCTAGCCAGAGCTGTATCTCCTTTTACCACAAGCCATGATACATCCTTCTCTCAGAAGCCTTCCCTTATTCGTGCTTGTTCCCTCCCTCATGCCACCCTTATCCCTAACACACATACACACACATATACACACACACACAATTACACCCACACACAGGATTTCTAAAACCCATCACAACTGTTGCTCACATGTGCCATTCCTTCACCCTGGAAGCACCCTTAACTAGACCGCTCATACTCTGGATATAAAACAGCTCCTCATATAAAATAGGCGATCTAAATAAAGACTTGTTTAGAGTTATGAAAATCACAGCAGTAACAAACAGTAACACTTCTAGGTCTCCTGCAGTGTGCCACACACCGGTGCCTCGAGGCTTCGTTCTCATTAGTACTCATTCTCATAACAATCTACACATGTGAAGAGGACGCTGCGGCCTGAGAGTTTATTCGAACGACTTGCCAACCTCCAGTTGAAGCCAGATCCGTTTTTATGAGAGATTCGAGGTCTTTCCCACATTCTCAGGACTGAAGGGTGGCGAGAAGGGTTTTCTGTAATCGGCGGAACTGCCCTGATCCCGCGGCGCGGCGTGAGCTGGCGGACAGCGAAGCTCAGCGTCAGCGCAGACGCCCCACCTCCCCAACGCCGCCTCCTGCTCCCGCCTCACCTCCGCCCGGTGCACGCTGACCCGGGTCCGCAGGACCCCGGTTCTCCTCAGCCCGGAGTCAGCGAGGAAAAGACGGCGCGCGTTCTTGCGTCATCAGCCGGCGCTGCGAGTGGTTCTGTGACTCCCGCACCTCTCGCCTCCTCTCGGTCACGTGACGGCCGGGAGGCGAGGCGGAAATCGCGTCGGACCAGCTCCATATCTGGTTCCGCGGACTGGAGTGGATTCCTACGCCAAATAGGGTGGACCCGGCGTGCGGACCCCGCGGGCAACCCCGGCCCTGCGCGTG